GAAATAACATATGGTTAGATGACTAAGATCTAACCCGGATGAACTTTGTTTGGCAATCATACAGGTTATAGTTGCTGCAATAGTAAACTCATCATATGTGCCGAAAACCCCAAGCAACGCGATTGTAAACATGGCAAACAGCCCATCTCCTCCCATTCCCACCACCAAGGAAATGGCGATTGCCACTGCAGGACATGAACAACCATCACAAAGCCTGAAATTTCTGAACAATGCAGTGTTAAACAAACCTAATAACAGCAGATGGGGATCACTACAATGCTCCGTCCAACAACTCGAAGATGTCAAAACCGTCATAAAAGTCCTCCCTATCTTCGCCTCCACCATCATGTTAAACTGCTGCCTGGCCCAGCTCTCCACATTCTCGGTCCAACAAGCTGCAACCATGAACACCCACCTTGGTTCCCTCAAGGTCCCGCCAGCCTCTCTTCCGGTCTTCCCTGTCGTCTTCATGATGATCCTCGCCCCGACCTATGACCAATTCGTGGTACCACTCATGCGTAGACTCACTCGCACAGAGATGGGAATCTCCCATCTCCAACGCATCGGGGTTGGTTTGATCCTATCCATCTTAGCTATGGCTGTTGCTGCCCTCGTGGAGGTCAAGCGGAGAAATGTGGCAGTCGGGTCTGGACTTGTCGACTCGACGAGGCCTTTACCCATCACATTTTTCTGGATCGCGCTGCAGTACCTCTTTCTGGGATCCGCTGACCTGTTCACCCTCGCCGGGTTGATGGAGTTTTTCTTCTCAGAAGCACCGGCCAGCATGAGGTCGTTGGCCACATCCCTCTCTTGGGCGTCACTAGCAATGGGATACTATCTGAGCACCGTGATTGTGTCTGTTGTGAATAGTGTGACCGGGAAGTCGAACCATCATGCGTGGCTTTCAGGGGAAAATTTGAACCATTACCACTTGGAGAGATTCTATTGGCTGATGTTCATACTCAGTGTTCTCAACTTCTTTCACTATTTGTTCTGGGCTTTGCGGTACAAGTACATATCTCGAAAGTGATGATGAGAAATGTAATAGTAACAATAGTAATAATATATATTTGTACTGAGTTGATTAAAGACAATGGAATTGTATTGGCAATACTTATCCATTGTATTTATACAAGAGATATATATATACAGCAGTACAGTCTTCATAAGATAACCTGGAGATCCTGAAAGGAAAGGTGCCTGTGCCATTGTCCAAGGTTGATGATGGAGGAGGAGATAAACTGCAGAGTAGTTCTGGAATGAAGCACAAATTGGTCATTAACCTTCTCAAGAATTAGAATTCCCACATTGTGTATCAAGATGCAAAGTCACATAGTAAAATGGTATCTAGTTATCTACAATGCACTTTGCAGGTGCCTAAATTTGAGGTTTCACGCTTTCACCTTTCGATATAAATGCGATATCAGTAGTCAAATGTCTTATATATGTTTGTATCTTTATATTTGACGACATGAGATAGCTTAATATTGTAAATGCTAATCCTTCAGAAACCTCGAAGCACCATCAGACACACACACACACTTTACCTTGAACACTTGATCAATTAGAGAAATCGAAACGTATTCCAATATGAGGTTTCAAGCTTGAAGAAGTTTACCAAGCTGTCTATTTAATAGAATGGTATGTGTCTTTCTAAAAAAAAGAAAAATAAGCAATGCACCCACAATATTTTAGGTCGTTGAATAATAGCACTTTTGTGGAGAGCAAACAAAACATCGCATGCTCTCCAAGCTCACATCTTAATATCTTATCCTAAAAGTGTTCGCTTGCTCAATGATGAAAAAGAATATACACTATCTATTAGAATGCATAATAATCACAAAAGCAAACACATTTTTGGACCCCTTTTTCGACTGTGAAGAACAAACGCATAATACTTTTGAATCCAATGGTCTAACAAAACGCAAACACTATTCGAAGATTTCCACTGCAATATGCAACTACAACTCTACAAGCATAGTTAAATAAGACCTTTATGTTCCAAGTGATAGTTTCATACATGTATTTTCACTACAACTGTAAACGGTACAATTTTCACTACTATACAGACTGTATCCAATTTCTGATTCTTCATGTATCAGACAAGCTATGATTAGACTATCTCTAAGTATTCAACTTACGTTTCACCAAAATATGCTAAAAGGAAAACAGGGCATAAAATACAAACGGGTGGGTGGCTTAGAGAATTCCAATATATACAGTCTCAACAGTGGCCTAAATATTAAATTCAAAATCCTAATCAAAACATAAGAGCCTTATCATCTGGAGTTTAGGTTGACTAATAACCGACCCCAAATAGTATGAGAACTATACAACAACAACATAAAAAACAACAACAACAATCAAGCCTTATTCCCAAAAAGTGTGAGAACTTTCAATCCTCATTCACCCCAGTGCCGCAAAGGCTCCCACCTACGGTGGGGTAGGGGGTCAGATGCACGCAGTCTTACCCTGTACTAAAGCATAGAGAGACTGTTTCCGGATGACCCATAATGAAAATCGCGTCCAGAATTGCATGGATTGACTGCTAGTTCATAACAACGAAGAGCAGACAGTTTGGTGAACCATTTGCTTTATTCCATCGTATTCTCAAGCCAAAAAATAACGAATCTTTGTGAATTAAAAATTATTTATTTGCATGTATTCATATTGTTAGTTTTCCATCATTTGCAGAGGAGCTAAAGATTCATTATTTTTTGGCTTGAGAATATGATGGAATAAAGCAAAATGGCTCACTAAACTGTCTGTGCTTCTTTGTTATGAAGCAGCAGTCAGAAGCTGTTCCGTTCGTCTTAATCTTATTACTTATTCCTTAATCTTATTTTATTCAGATCAGATCAGATCAGATCAGATCAGATCAGAAAGATTCAGATCAGATCAGAAACATTCAGATCAGATCAGAAAGATTCAGATCAGATCAGAAAGATTCAGATCAGATCAGCAACATTCAGATCAGATCAGGAAGATTCAGACCAGATCAGACCAGATCAGAAACATTCAGATCAGATCAGATCAAAAAATTCAAACATGATTTATCACTTTTATTATTATATTAATTATGATTATTATATTATAGTTATTGTTAATAATATTAATATATTAATATAATAATATTATTAATAATAATATAATAATAATGTTAATAATATAAAATTATTATTATATAATATAATATAATATAATATAATATAATATAATATAATATAATATAATATAATATAATATAATATAATATAATATAATATAATATAATATAATATAATATAATATAATATAATATAATATAATATAATATAATATAATATAATATAATATAATATAATATAATATAATATAATATAATATAATATAATATAATATAATATAATATAATATAATATAATATAATATAATATAATATAATATAATATAATATAATATAATATAATATAATATAATATAATATAATATAATATAATATAATATAATATAATATAATATAATATAATATAATATAATATAATATAATATATTATATTATAATATAATATAATATAATATATTTATAATTATAATTATAATTATGATTTACAATGTAATTATAATTATAATCATCATTATTATTAATATGATTGTTGTTCTTGTTGTTATTTTTGTAATTATTATTACTTCGGAGTAATTATATATTTAAATTAGTAATTATAGATATAATTATGATTATAGAGATAAATATTATAATTATAATTACAAAAAAATTATAAAATTAATCATAATTAAAAATATAATTACATTTATAATTGTATCTGTATTTATAATTAGTGTAATTGGTATAATTATTATAATTTTAAATTTAATTTTAATTATTATTTTTTTATAATTATGATTATAATTGTAATTTTATTTAAGTTATATTTTTAATTACAATTATAAATCTAATAATTATAATTATAATTACAATTATAGAAATATTCAAATCAGATCAGAAAGATTCAGATCAGATCAGAAACATTCAGATCAGATCAGATCAGATCAGCAACATTCAGATCAGTTCAGCAACGTTCAGATCAGATCAGAAAGATTCAGATCAGATCAGAAAGATTCAGATCAGATCAGATCAGAAAAATTCAGATCAGATCAGATCAGATCAGAAAAATTCAGATCAGATCAGATCAGAACTTAAAAAATTCAGATCAGAAACATTCAGATCAGGTGAACGGAACAGCTTCTCAGTCCATGCAATTTGGGACGTGATTTTCACTATGGGTCATCAGGGAACAGTCTCTCTGTACTTTAGTACAGGGGTAAGAGTGCGTACATCCGACCCCCTTACCCACCGTAGGTGAGGAGCCTTTGAGGCACTGGGGTAAATGAAAATGAAAAATATTCATATTGTTAGTCCAAAATGTTGAATTCACTATAGGAGTACATTTCAGTCATGCAAATCATCTCTAATGTTGAACCATTTTTCCCACATAAATAGGAAAATATTTACCAAAATTGTGAAATGAAGCAATTCATTAACCAAGATAACCTTATCTTTTATAATCTCTATGTGTGGCTGGTTTGTTGCAGATCTGGAAAGGATGAGGTCATCAAAAACCATAAGTTAAAAAAATTGTATACAATAATGCAACTATTCTAATAGCAAGATAAATACAAGCAAAGAAAAACAATCAGCGGAATGTGTGAGAATTTGGTATGCAAGGGATAAATCCATGTAAAGCGAGAAAAATCGTCAATAAAGCACACATAATATTTATAACCTAAATTAGATAACACAGGCGATTGCCAAACATCAGAATGAATTAATTGTAGTGGTGAAGAAGAATTATGACTAGCATCTGAAAAAGGTAATCGTTGGGATTTACCCAAACGGCAAGAGACACAATCATGTTCAAAATTTGAAGAACTAGTAATAAGTTTGCTACTACGCAATTGGCGTAAAATAGTATCACCACAATGTCCTAATCTACGGTGCCACACAGGGCCAGAAACAATAACGGAAGCTAAAGCTAGAGGTGCTGGAGGACTGAGGCTGACAGGGTATAGATGGCCATTATGACGCGCCTGAAGAAGAACTGCCCCCGAAATTTTGTCCTTAACAAAAAAAGAGTTTTTATCAAAAATTGCAACACAGTTGTTATCAGCACACAATTTTTGAATGGAAATTAAATTAAATTTAATTTGAGGCACATGAAACACAGATTTTAATGACAATGGGCGAGTAGGAGTATTTAATGAAATATCACCAATATTAGCAATTGGAAGTTTAATACCATTTGCAACACTAACAGACATGGTGCCAGAGTAAGGAGATTTATTTGACAAAATACCTTCTGACGATGTCATATGAGCAGAAGCTCCGGAGTCGGGATACCACAAAGCATCATTAGATTCCCCACTGGGAGCAACCAAGGCCGGTGCAGAAGAAGCAGAAAAACGGGACGGACAGTGCAGAGCAGAATGACCTGCAGAGAAACAAATTTGACACACAACTGGGGAAGGGACTGAACCAAGAATACCCTCAGTTGATGAGAAACCTGCATAATGATAATGAGAACCAGAAGTAGATTTAGCATTAATATTTAAAGTGGACACAACAGATTTACCAGATGGAGCATTTTGAGGTCTCAGAGTAGAGGCACCCCCTGCGGGCAAGAACGGATGTGCCGGCTGCTGTCCGTGATACGGTGGGGCCTGCTGACCATACCCTTGCGGCTGTCCTGTGTGCTGCCCGTAGGCCTGGTTGGGTGGAAACCGACCTCTGCCGCGGCCCCCTCTTCCGCGGCCGCCTCTGCCGCGGCCTCCTCTGCCGCGGTAAGCACCATGAGCAGGCGGTTGGCCGACCTGCACTTGCTGAGCATTACCAACCTGAGCTCCAAAGGCCGGCTGGAGCTGAGAAGACTCGTGTTGCCGCTGAAAAAGGATGAGTTGTTCGGCCTCCATCAATCTAGGGTGGAGAATATCTGGGGGGAAATTTTCAGGAAAAAGAGAGATGGTGCCCGCAATTGATTGATACTCAGGTCCCAGTCCATATAACGTGCATTGTAACAATTCTTTGTTACTCACAGGGGAATTAATTGTAGCTAAAGCATCAGCAACTTTCTTAATTTCAAGCAGATAAGTTTCCATGGACTGGTTTTCTTTCTTTCTAATGGCATTCAAGGTACGCTTAAGTTCCATGGCTCGAGGTAAACTAGCCGACATAAAGCGTTTTTGTAAACGATCCCATATACCAAATGAATGTTTAATATCATGCACATCAGTTAATACATCACGAGAAAGAGTAGCAAACAACCAGGAACAGATGGTTTGGTCTACTCGAAGCCAGTGATAATACTCTGTATTAACGATTTGTTGATTATTAAAATTCACTGTATACATAGGAGGTACCTGAATGGAGCCGTCAACAACACCAAAAAGCCCTTGGGAGACGAGAAAAGATTCAAATTGTGTGCGCCACGTAAGATAATCTTCAACCGCCTTCAATTTGATTGTAACAATTTGACTCACATTAGCAATTCCGTGGGAAACCGATTGTGCCAACGTAGCCATAGAAGTTCCAAGCAACTGATTGTCATGAGTAGGTCGAATAACACCCGGCGACCCAGCAAACGTCGTCCCAAAATAAGAGGAATTGGGCAGGGTGCTCGAGCTGGCCGGAGGAGGGAGCTGCGACCATGGAAACTGCGGCGGGAGTTGGCTGAATAAAGTATAAGGGGTCGACGGCATCCATAGAGAAGAGAACTCTGGATTTGAGGGATGAAATTCTGGCTGCGTCATGGAAGAAAAGAGGGCGCCAGAGGACTGCGTGATGACTGATGCGGCAGTGGAAGCAGGGATGGAAGAAGCAGAATCAAGAGAGGGAATTGGCATCGTCATTGCTGCTGTAGATATTGTTTCCATGGAGGAGGAAACATTCGTAAGTGGAAGGCTTCCATCGATGGACTCCATGGCGGCGATCGAAGGAGAGAGAGAATAGCCGGAAAAAAAATTATTAGCCCTAGGCTCTGATACCATGTGAGAATTTGGGAAAACGGTGCTCCAATAGGAGCCCTGGCATGTCTATTTATATTAAAAGAGTTTAATACACAATAGGAAACAAATATGCCTTATATTATTCTATTAGAATGCCTTGCAGAACATAGCCAGAATGGGAAAAATACAAACACGGCTTACTGGATATTGAGTCTCTGGCGATGGAGTAATGTGAGCCGGCGGCTGTGGATATAAACAGAGTAAAACTATGCTAAGCATTCATCACACCCACCATACATGTTCTGCTGACTAGGGTGGGCATAAAAACCGCACCAAACCGGTACCGAACCGGTCCGTAATGGTACCGAACCGAATATCGGGTATTTAAATGATTCTATAAGATTTTATCCCGAACCGAAACCGTACCGTTTCAAACGGGTAGGGGACCGGTCCTAGATTTTGAGAAACGAAAAATACCAGACCAAACCATTCAAAAATAATGTCTTTGAGATTTTTTTTTATATTTTTCCATACCTATAAATATCTTTTATAGACCAACAACATTATAGCCCAAGTATATTACTCCGTATATTTATGCATCCCTAAAATAGTTAAGTGTGTGTTTATATTACTCCGTATTATTTTTTCCTTTTAGATAATTAATTTATGTTATATTTGGTATGTAATGAAAGAATGCCAAAGTTTTAAAAAACATTAATGACTATTAATTTCTAGTAATGTAGTGTATGTGGCTTTTGTTGTATCATATTTGTATAGTTTTATAACTTAATTAATATGATTTGAATCACAGCTCTTACGGTTCAACTATGAACTATATTAGAATTAACTAGTTTTTTACATGCGCGATGCGCGAGAGGAAAATGCCCAATGCTATTTTGATAAGATTAACATAATAAAATGAATGTTAACGATTAGTATATTTGAATGCTTTGAATGTATATTTTTTCTTCATAATAACATGGTCAAAAGGAGATATGAGATGTCTCCATATTTGGGTCAAGGATCATTCCCATAACAACTTATGTGTGTATAATATAATATCATCATTGTGGTGATAAACAATCTAAAAAAGAGTGGCGTATAGTGAGGTTTAAAGTGTTGGCAAAACATGTTATTTTGACGATTGAATCCAATAGCTCCAAATATGTAGTAATTAAGAGGCAAGTTCAATAACGAATGTGTGTTATAATATTCTAATTAAAGTGGTTAATACTTCTCTGTAATAAGCATATAAAAAAATTTACATTGGATAGATGTTAATTGAGATCAAATTGGGGTGGTGGTGGTGATAGGCAACTTCTATGTGTAATAATCCAATATGCATGCACATACACATACATATATACCAATAAACGAAGTGTCATATCAAACTTGTGCATTCCCTTTTGTACACTTCTGCTCTGTAACAAAAGCATCTCCATAGTGTGACTATATGAAAAATTCTCTCACCAAGTCAAAGTGAAACAAAGAACTTTGCCAAAGTGGAACAAGGACCTTAGTCTCAATCTTTCCTCTTTATTTGAATTATTAAGAGCAAACAAACTTCAGCACAACGATGTTTCAACACCAATCACCAAGTGCAGGAACTGAAAGAAGTAAAGGCAAAGCAAAATAATCACACAATACATCAAGCTTTTACATGAAAATTCTTCAAATCATATAGGCAAAACCACTGGACCTTCAGTCCGTCACAAAAGCTCCAATGTATACCAAAGTTTTTCGACAACGTTCCCCCAGAATAGTCTATGATAGCAGCATTAAAAGGAAGAAACAAACAGCAACAATAAACAAAACCAATACATCACAAGAGGGAAGAAATCACCCAAAAGTGTTGTTTTGATCCTAATAACCCCAGCCACAGACCTCCAGATACGAATCCCACCATTGAAAACAAAGACCAGTGAGTTGTGAACCACCAAATAGAACTTCAGGCAGATCCAACGATTGGAGCACTGGACTGACAGTCTGACAGCAACAAGAAAACAGGATGGATAATATCCTTTAATTTCCATTTTTTTGCTTGGTCCAGATATATTTTTTTCTACGAACCTGAGGAAACAACGGAGCACGATGGCCCTAAACACTTCGATCAATAATGTTATGGGCATGGGTCTTAGGTGCAGCTCAAAACCGGGATCAGCTCAAAAGCAAAATTGGCCAAGAGTGAGGTTTTATCCACATAGAAAGGGAAAGTGAAATATGTGACGAAAAAACAAAATAAATAAAAACAGTTGAAGTAATTCAATCTACAAAACCTGGCATTCTAAAATATTCAAAAACCACACCGTAGTCTCAATGAAATATAAAATAATTAAAGGTCCTGTCTGAAAAGAGAATGCCGGTGTCATAATATAACAAATGTTAGACCTATTGAGATGAAAAGAGATAGACATGGCAATGGGTCGGGGCGGGGCGGGTACTGCAAGACCCGGACCCGCCCCATGACTTGGCGGGGCGGGTCCGCCCCGCCCCGCGACCTGCACGGGTCCAAACTTGTTGACCCGTGACCCACCCCATGCGGGGCGGGGCGGGTCCGACCCGCCCCATGCGCCCCGCCGTAACATAATTAGCTAATATGTATTTCTATTTGTGGGAAGTTGTTACCAATTGAATCTACATAATTATCTCTGAATAATAATTAAAAATTAATATATTAAATCAAATTCATGATACGCTAAAATTTCAAAAATTGAGGAAAAATTACTCAGACTTGAATAGTTAATTTATTTAATTATATTAATAATTGAATATATGTATTAAAATGCTATATATAACGCATACATTGATAATCCGTCGTTCATCTCATTCTAATATATATATTAATATATTATAAGATCAAAAAATTTAATATTTATTGTATACACACATGAATGTTGAAGTATATTTGTAGTATAATTTAAGAAAAAGTATGTACACTTTTATATTGAGCGGAGCGGGTCGGGGTAGGTCGGGGCAGCACGGGTCAATACTAAGACCCGGACCCGCCCCATTTGCAGGACGGGGCGGGCCGGACCCGCCCCAAATGTCTCGGGCCAGGGCGGGTCATTGCGGGTCGGGTTTTTTTGACATCCCTAAAAAGAGAGGAGGTTCTGGAAATATAAGACCAATTACATTTGTCCTCTTTTGATTTGGGTCTTATTACAATACTAGCGTTTCTTCGCGCAAGTCACGAGAGCTTTTGCCCAATGTAAAGTCATGATCTTTTTTGTTAGTGTATTATATGTGAGATTGTTGTACGAATTTCTTATAGTGTATGAAAATATCATATACTTAACATGAATTTTACAATCAATTATATTCTCAATTCACCAACTATAATGTGAAAATTTTTATGATATTTTTTCAAAGCTAGCTATGTGATTCTGTGAATTGTCTCCATATTTTTCTTTTAATTATCACATACTTGTATTGACATAAGGTTTTTTTAGTAGTGTTATCCGATAATCAAAAATTTTATGTGGATAATGATCTGGTATAAGTATAGATGTAATGTTGGAGGATCTTCGAAGTACAATTTTTTTTTGAGATGATCAGTGTTCTACAAGCAAATGAATATAATGTTGGGGCTGGTCTCAACTATAAACTGGGTACATCATCTTTCAATATATAATAGTCCCTCGTGATCGGGTAACCGTTGTTCATATTTTTTAAGAAATGAAATGTATGTATAATAATTGGTCGTTCTATTTTTAGTAGTCCCAATATAATAAACTGAAAAGTAATACTCCATCTTTTTCTATGTTAAATTTTCTTTATATATATACTTTTATAGAAATATTTTATTGCATGCATCACTTTCCTATTTTTGTTGTAAATTTTTCATCTATACATACATAAATCTTCTACTTTTCTCACCTTTTATCACCTACTCATACATTTTTCGTCTTTATTTGAAGCTATTAACACTTCTTCTACATTTTACACTTTTAATTAAATCACTTAAAAATAGCCAAACCCTCTAAAGTCTCTACCCTACATTTTACACATACATAATATTAATACGTTCTCATTAAAAATAGCCAAACCCTC